AAGAGACGGGGCAGCAGCTGGGCCCAGTGCATCAGATTCGCTTTCAAAGCAAGAGGCACAAATGTCAGCAAGTCTGGGCCCACACCGCAGGGTTTATTGAAGGAACTGTGTCTTACCATTAACAGAAACTGTCTTGGGGTATTTTTGGTTAATTGCAATAATATGTAAATTGGCACCACTCCTGGATTTACAACACATGGGAATCTGGCCCTTCGCTGAGATCAAAACATGCCAGCCCCCGCCCACGGCCTTTGCACCCCACACTCTGCTGCAGTTTCCTCTCTCGCATAGTGTCTGACCAGCTTGCAGCTGGTGACGGGGTTCGCTGCTGTGAGGCTGGGAAATTCCATTCTCCCATTTTACAGATGAGGAGCTGAGAACCAGGGAGTTGCAGCAAAGGAGTCTGGGTCTGAACTGGGAATTGCACCCTGGTCCTGAGCCCCCGTGCGGTGCCCAGACTCCCCCCCCGTCCCCCACTACCAGTTATATTCATGCATGAGACGGAGAGAGCACAAATGAACGTTACACGGATGGGAACCAACACAGAGGTCTATTTGCACCAGCGGAGCGGAGTTAAAAGAAAAAAAATGTTTAAAAACAGCAAAAAAGTGACAAAAATCAATGAGATTTCTGTTCCTTGAGTTGTAATTATTAACGCCCCAGGGGAAGGGGGTTGTTTATAAAACAGGCTTTTTACCAGCACCCACCTTATATTAAAAAATCCCTCCCTTTCCAGTGACAACTGGCAGGTCCACCGGCTGCCGCAGTTTGCCGCTGCTCTCCTTCCCGGTCCACTGACACCTACAGACCGGCTCCCACCAGCACTGTGGGGTCTGGGGCAGGTGCAGAGGGCACAGCCTGTCCCAGGAACTGCACAACCAGCCCCAGACACACAGAACAGCCCCCCAGCTTGGCTCTGCACAAGACATGTCCCGGAATAGAGACGATGGCTTGAACCCCCATCACAGAGGCAGCCCTGCCTCTGTGGGGATGGGAGGAGATACCCATCAAACATTGTAAGGTGCTCAGATACTGCAGTTGTGAGGGCAGAAAAGGCCCCTGATAGACTGAGGTCACTGGACTAGGAGAGTTTCCACCCGCAGAGAACCTGGCCCCAAAGGCCGTTACCTGCAGTTGGCACCGGGGCAGCCCCTGTGCGCCAGGGGGCGGGCATGGCTTTGCTTCCCCACAATGGGGCTGGCCTGCAGGGGCCAGTGCTTCCAGGGGCCGAGGCAGCTAGACCCCCAGGGATGCAGGCAGGGGGGACGCCTGCCCAAGCCGCACCTGGCTCGTGGCTTGCCATGGACGTATTGGAAAGCCAAGGCCGGTCTGGGCCCAGGAGCCCGGAGGAAGCCCCTCCCAACTACAGCCCTCGCCACGTCTTTGTTACCCGCCCGGCCAATCGGGACCGGTCTCAGGGCACTGCCCTGTCCCACCAGCACGGAGCTGTGACCAGGCGGCTCCCACCCAAGCACACCACACGGCTCGCCTGGGGCCGGCCAGCTGCCCACAGCCAGGCGGGCGCCAGGGACGTCAAAGGAGACAGCCCAATGGGCTCTGGGCACCCAAGTCCCTGGGGCGGCCCCTGGGGCCAAGGGGGAGCTGGATCCGGGCGCTACCCAGAACCCCTGGGGCAGCACTGCCTTGCCACGGGGAACGGTCACACGCAGCCGCTGGCCCAGCTTCCTGTGGCTCACAGGGCCCCTGCCAGTGGAGTTTCCGACGTGGTAGTTTCTGTGGTCGAAAAGCCCCAGCCCAAAACTCCAGGCAGCAAACTGGAAACTGGGGGCAGGAGCCGGCGAGCAGGGAACGCCTCGAGCGCCAGGCTCTGCCCTAGGAGCGCGCAGACGGCAAGGGGAGGGGAGTGGGGTTCTCCCAGTGGGAAAAGCCCCTGGCTACCCAGAAGAGAAACCAGCAACGCCCACCCCAGCAAGGCCCTAGCTTGCGAAGCAGGATGACTGCACCACCGTCAGCGAGAGCAGGACCTGGCCCTTCATTTCAAGGGAGCAGACGGCCTCCCAGGGGCGCAGGGCCAGGTGCTCGGGGCCGGCACCGCACACCCAGATGGTGACACACACCTCGCACCGGATTTCTCACGCTCCGGACAGAGCGCAGCGCCCCAGAGGTTCGGAAAGAGGCGTTTCCTCCTGGCCATCGGCCTGCGACAGCCACTGCCCGCTTCTGTGCTCCCATGGGCGTCACCCGCTGTCTGCACCCACCTTCTGCGCCCCTGGCAGATGGCAAAGCACCCAGGAGAGAGCCAGGGCCCCATTCTCCCCCAGCAGCCACAGGCCTGGGCCAAGGTGTTTGGATCGGAGAAGCACCCCTCCTTCTGCACGCCCCGCGACCAAGGCCAGTCCCAGCCAGGGGCCGCCGGAGCCAGTGGAGCTGCCCTGGGAGCGCCAACCCCGCGGGGAGCCTGGGAGGGGCTGACGGCACCAAGCGCAGCTCAGGAGCAGACCCCAAATGCCTCCTCCAGCACATTAAAGACAAGCTAGGAGAGTAATGTGGGGGCACCAATATTCAGGGGGGGGGAATCCTGGACACCCCTCCCCCACCAACGCCCCGAGCGCCCCCCCACCGCAGGGCCCAGTTCCCCAACACACCGAGCCCCCCCCACCCCCGAAGCCAGAAGCGCCCCCCCCCCCGGAACTGCAAAGCTAAGATCAGTTTCCCCAAATGCTCCACACACCCCCACAAATAACCCGGGTGAGTGTCTTTGACCCCCCTCAGTTGTTACTTGGTGCCACCCCCGTCTAAAGGGCGGGGGGGGGGGAGAGCTCAGCCTGGGCGCTCCCCGCTTTCCTGCCTCTCCCGCAAAACCGCGGCAAACAATACCCAGGCAGAGGCGGATCCCTGGGCGGAGGGTCCCGGGACACGTGGGAGGCGGACGGGGGGGGGGGGGTAACCCGGCGAGGTGCAGGAGAAGTGATGGGGGGGTGACTCTGACGGGGGGGGGGTCTGGAGCGGATCTCAAGGGCTCGAGCGGGAGGGAGACAGAGACACTGGGGGGGGGGGTGTCTAGATCGGGAAGCAGGGACCGGAAGGGGGGGATGGGGCTGTCGGGGGGGGGGGGGGGGGGGAGAGCTAGAGACGTGGGGGGAGGGCACCCGGTGGGGCAGGACGCTGTGACCCAGCTGGGGTAGTGAGAAGGGAGGGAAGAATTAGGGGCACCTGGGAGAAGAGGAGAACGGGGGGAGGGGGGAAGGGGGTCCGAGGGTCCAGGATCGGGGGAGGGGCTTGGGGGCAGTAGATCTGGGGCGGAGGTCCGGGGGGAGGGGATCAGGGATAGGTTTGGGGGCTCCGGGGACAGGAATGAGAGTGGGGGGGGCACAGGGAGGCGGGTCCGGGGGGGGGCACAGGGAGGCGGGTCCGGGGGTGCAATGGGGTACGGGGGAGCACAGGGACGGAGTCCGGGGGGAGAGGTGGGAGGCGGGTTCGGGGGGGCAGGGGGAGGGGTGGGGAGGCGGGTCCGGAGGGGGTACAGGGACCAGGTCCGGGGGGAGAGGTGGGAGGCGGGTCCGGAGGGGGGCACAGGGACCAGGTCCGGGGGGAGAGGTGGGGAGGCGGGTCCGGAGGGGGGGCACAGGGACCAGGTCCGGGGGGAGAGGTGGGAGGCGGGTCCGGAGGGGGGGCACAGGGACCAGGTCCGGGGGGAGAGGTGGGAGGCGGGTCCGGAGGGGGGGCACAGGGACCAGGTCCGGGGGGAGAGGTGGGAGGCGGGTCCGGAGGGGGGGGCACAGGGACCAGGTCCGGGGGGAGAGGTGGGAGGCGGGTCCGGAGGGGGGGCACAGGGACCAGGTCCGGGGGGAGAGGTGGGAGGCGGGTCCGGAGGGGGGGGCACAGGGACCAGGTCCGGGGGGAGAGGTGGGAGGCGGGTCCGGAGGGGGGGCACAGGGACCAGGTCCGGGGGGAGAGGTGGGAGGCGGGTCCGGAGGGGGGGGGCACAGGGACCAGGTCCGGGGGGAGAGGTGGGAGGCGGGTCCGGAGGGGGGGGCACAGGGACCAGGTCCGGGGGGAGAGGTGGGAGGCGGGTCCGGAGGGGGGGGCACAGGGACCAGGTCCGGGGGAGAGGTGGGAGGCGGGTCCGGGGGGGGCACAGGGACCAGGTCCGGGGGGAGAGGTGGGAGGCGGGTCCGGGGGGGCACAGGGACCAGGTCCGGGGGAGAGGTGGGAGGGGGTCCGGGGGGGGGCACAGGGACGGGTCGGGGGGAGAGGTGGGAGGGGGTGGGGGGAATGGGAGGGGTCCGGGGGGAGGGATGGGAGGCGGGTTGGGGGAGGGGGACGGGGGGAGGGGTGGGAGGCGGGTGAGGGGGTAAGGGAGGGGTCCGGGGGGAGGGGTGGGAGGGGGTGGGGGTAATGGGGTCGGGGGGAGAGGTGGGTCGGGGGGGGACAGGGACCAGGTCGGGGGAGAGGTGGGAGGCGGGTCCGGGGGGCACAGGGACCAGGTCCGGGGGGAGAGGTGGGAGGCGGGTCCGGGGGGGGCACAGGGACCAGGTCCGGGGGAGAGGTGGGAGGCGGGTCCGGGGGGCACAGGGACCAGGTCCGGGGGGAGAGGTGGGAGGCGGGTCCGGGGGGGCACAGGGACCAGGTCCGGGGGAGAGGTGGGAGGCGGGTCCGGGGGGGGGGGCACAGGGACCAGGTCCGGGGGGAGAGGTGGGAGGCGGGTCCGGGGGGGGGGCACAGGGACCAGGTCCGGGGGAGAGGTGGGAGGCGGGTCCGGGGGGGGGACAGGGACGGGGTCCGGGGGAGAGGTGGGAGGCGGGTCCGGGGGGGCAATGGGACGGGGTCCGGGGGGAGGGATGGGAGGCGGGTTCGGGGGGGCAGGGGGGACCGGGGGGAGGGGTGGGAGGCGGGTCCGGAGGGGGTACAGGGACGGGGTCCGGGGGGGAGGGGTGGGAGGCGGGTCCGGGGGGTGCAATGGGGTCCGGGGGGAGAGGTGGGTCCGGGGGGGGGCACAGGGACGGGGACCGGGGAGGGGTCCCGGAGCCCGCTCTTACCAGCACCAGGGCGAACCTCTCCTCCAGCTCGCAGGGCTCCGGCATCGGCATCTTCCCCGGCTGCAGCAGCCCGGACCCCCCCAGGGGGGCTCCGCCCGGGCCCCGGGGCAGCGGCTCCCCGTCCGCGCTCTCCACGTTCCCCATCCCCGGCCCGGGCGGCGGGGGAGCCTCAGCCCTTCGCGTCCGGCGGCCGCGGCTGCCTCCCCGGCGCCGCCCCCGACCCCGCCCAGCGCCCCAGCAGCCACTCCGCGCCCGGCGCCGCCCCGGGCAGATGTGCCCGCGTCGCCCAGATGTGCTCCCCCCCCTTGCCCCACCTCCTCCAGATGTGCGCCCACTAGCCCCCTATTGCCCAGCTGTGCCCCCAAACCCCCAACCCAGACGTGCTGCCCCCTGTAACCCGCCCCACATCTCTCCACCGCTCAGCCCTGCCCCCCCGCCCCTTCCCAGAGGTGTCGTCTCCTCTAACCACCTACCCGGACGCGCTGGCCCCCCGGCCCCTCCTGGGCTGCCCCCCGGCCCCTCCTGGGCTGCTCCCCGCCGCGTTCTGGCCCCAAGACCCTCCATAGGCGCGCCCCTAGATCTCACTCTCTGCCCAGGTGGGGCGACCCCCTCCCCCATCAGGCTTCTCCCAGCCAGGGATCTCAAAGCGCTTTACAAGCAAACATCAGAGGAGTAGCCCGCCCTTTCTCCAGCCTGGGAAACTCGGGCCCGGGAGCAGAAGCATGACTTGTCCCAAGGAACACAGCAGCCCGGGGTTAGAGCCAGGAATAGAACCCAAGAGTCCTGACTCCCAGTCCGCCCCCTCTCCCCAACTACTGCTCGGCCGCAGGCCCCTCCGGGCTGGGACTAGAACCCAGGCGTCCGGCCCCTTTCACCCAGCCGCTGCCGGAGGATCCCCTCCGCTCCCGGGTGCCCGCTAGGAAGGGAGAGGCCTCCCCCTGCTGGAGCATGCAGGGAGAGACACACGGAACCGGGCGCAGAGTTGTCGGGACGGAGCAGGAGCCAGGCGGTCCCCATAACCTGGGGCCGGGGGGAGCTGCAGAGCACCGTGGGGAGGGGAGGGGCTCTGAACATCACAACAGCTATACTGGGACAGACCCAAGGTCCATCCAGCCCAGTGTCCTGTCTTCCAACAGCGGCCAGTGCCAGGGGCCCACGGGGGAATGAAAAGAACAGGGAATCAGCAGGTGATCCATCCCCATAGCACATTCCCAGCTTCCAGCAAACAGAGGATAGGGACATCATCCCTGCCCATCCTGGCTAATAGCCATTGATGGACCTAGCCTCCATAAATTTATCTAGTTCTTTTTTGAACCCTGTTATAGTCTTGGCCTTCACAACATCCTCTGGCAAGGAGTTCCACAGGTTGAATGTGCGTTGTGTGAAAAAAATACTTCCTTTTGTTTGTTTTAAACCTGCTGCCTATTAATGTCATATGGTGACCCCTAGCTCTTGTGTTACAAGAAGGAGTAAATACCACTTATTTATTTCAGAGTAGCAGCCGTGTTAGTCTGTATTCGCAAAAAGAAAAGGAGGACTTGTGGCACCTTAGAGACTAACCAATTTATTTGAGCATAAGCTTTCTTGAGCTACAGCTCACTTCATCTCACGAAAGCTCATGCTCAAATAAATTGGTTAGTCTCTAAGGTGCCACAAGTACTCCTTTTCCTTATTTATGTTCTCCACACCAGTCATGATTTTATAGACCTCTATCATATCCCCCCTTAGTCGTCTCTTTTCCAAATTAAAAAGTCCCACTCTTATTAATCTCTTCTCATAGGGAAGCTGTTCCATGCCCCTCATCATTTGTTGCCCTTTTCCAATTCCAGTATATCTTTTTTGAGATGGGGTGACTACATCTGCACGCAGCATTCAAGATCTGGGAGTACTATGGCTCTGTGGATGAGGGGAAAGCAGTGGACGTGTTGTTCCGTGACTTTAGCAAAGCTTTTGACTCGATATCCCACAGTATTCTTGCCAGCAAGTTAAAGAAGTCTGGGCTGGATGAATGGACTATAAGGTGGATAGAAAGTTGGCTAGATTGTCGGGCTCAACGGGCAGTGATTAATGGCTCCATGTCTAGTTGGCAGCCGGTATCAAGTGGAGTGCCCCAGGGGTCGGTCCTCAGGCCAGTTTTGTTCAATATCTTCATTAATGATCTGGAGGATGGTGTGGATTGCACCCTCAGCAAGTTTGCAGGTGACACTAAACTGGGAGGAGAGGTAGATACGCTGGAGGGTAGGGATAGGATACAGAGGGACGTAGACAAATTAGAGGATTGGGCCAAAAGAAATCTGATGAGGTTCAACAAGGACAAGTGCAGAGTCCTGCACTTAGGACGGAAGAATCCCATGCACCGCTACAGACTAGGGAACGAAGGGCTCGGCAGCAGTTCTGCAGAAAAGGACCTAGCGGTTACAGTGGACGAGAAGCTGGATATGAGTCAACAGTGTGCCCTTGTTGCCAAGAAGGCCAATGGCATTTTGGGCTGTGTAAGTAGGGGCATTGCCAGCAGATTGAGGGACGTGATCGTTCCCCTCTATTTGACATTGGTGAGGCCTCATCTGGAGTACTGTGTCCAGTTTTGAGCCCCACACTACAAGAAGGATGTGGAAAAATTGGAAAACATCCAGTGGAGGGCAACAAAAATGATTCGGGGACTGGAACACATGACTTATGAGGAGAGGCTGAGGGAACTGGGATTGTTTAGTCTGCGGAAGAGAAGAATGAGAGGGGATTCGATAGCTGCTTTCAACTACCTGAGCGGGGGTTCGAAAGAGGATGGATCTAGACTGTTCTCAGGGGTGGCAGATGACAGAACGAGGAGTAATGGTCTCAAGTTGCAGTGGGGGAGGTTTAGGTTGGATATTAGGAAAAACTTTTTCACTAAGAGGGTGGTGAAACACTGGAATGCGTTACCTAGGGAGGTGGTGGAATCTCCTTCCTTAGAAGTTTTTAAGGTCAGGCTTGAGAAAGCCCTGGCTGGGATGATTTAGTTGGGGATTGGTCCTGCTTTGAGCAGTGGGTTGGACTAGATGACCTCCTGGGGTCCCTTCCCAACCCTGATATTCTATTTTCTATTTCTATTTTCTGCCTTATTATCTGTCCCTTTCTTAATGATCCCCAACATTCTGTTCGCTTTTCTGCCTGCCACTGCCCATGGAGTGGATGTTTTCAGAGAACTATCCACGATGACTCCAAGATCTCGTTCTTGAGTGGGAACAGCTAATTTAGACCCCATCACTGTGTATATGTAGTTGGAATTATGTTTTCCAATGTGCATCACTTTGCATTTAGTAACACAGAATTTTCTGCCATTCTGTGGCCCAGTCACCCAGTTCTGTGAGATCCCCTTGTAGCTCTTCACAGTCTGCCTGGGACTTAACTCTCTTGTAGTTTTGGATCATTTGCAAGTTTTGCCACCTCACTGTTTACCCCTTTTTCCAGCTCGTTTATGAATGTTAAATATTGGTCCCCGTACAGACCCCTGGGGGACCCCACTATTTACCTCTCTCCATTCTGAGAACTGACCCTTTTATTCCCACCCCTTGTTTCCTACCTTTTAACCAGTCAGGGATCCAGGAGAGGACCTTCCCTCTTATCCCAGGACAGCTCACTTCACTTAAGAGCCTTTGGTGAGGGACCTTGTCAAAGGCTTTCTGAAAGTCAAAGTACCCGATATCCACTGATCGCCTCTTGTCCACATTCCTGTTGTTAAGGAAAGCACCGGGCTGGGACTCAGGAACTCTGCATTCCAGCCATGGACCTTGGGCCTGGCCTTCCAGGTGGGGCTTTCCAGGCCATGAACCTCTCTGGGCCTCTGCTCCCACAGCTGTAAAATGGGATAATACCACTCCCCCCTTCCGGCTGTGAGCTCTTTGGGCAGGGCCTGCCTCTCGCTCTGTCTGGGCAGCGCTGGGGCCTCTAGGATCCACTGTAACCCAACAATCAGGAGTGGGGCTACCAAAGCAAGTGCTGCAAGCCACAGGCTCTTGTGCACGCTAGCCTGGGGCGAGTGCCCCAAATGTACCATGATCCGGCTCGGAAATCTGCTCTGCAGCCCCCCGGGCACCTGGGCCCGCTCCTCCAGGGTGCTGCAGGGTGCACCTGGCACTGCACCGTGTGTGCCATAGCTGGGGGGCAGCCGGCAATGCACTGTACGGGGGGGCAGCCAGCAATGCACTGGAACCCGGGGGGGGGGGGAGCCGGCAATGCGCTGGAACGGGGGAGGGCAGCAACTGGCCACGCACCAGATACACTGTACGGGGGGGGAGCCAGCAATGCACTGGAACCCGGGGGGGGGGCAATCAGCAATGCACTGTACGGGGGGCAGCCAGCAATGCACTGGAACCCGGGGGGCCGCTGCAGGGGGGCCAGCAATGCACTGGAACCCGGGGGGCAGCCAGCAATGCACTGGAACCGGGGGGCAGCCAGCAATGCACTGGAACCCGGGGGGGGGGCAGCCAGCAATGCACTGGAACCCGGGGGGGCAGCCAGCAATGCACTGAAACCCGGGAGGGGGGCAGCCAGCAATGCACTGTACGGGGGGGGAGCCAGCAATGCACTGGAACCCGGGGGGGGCAGCCAGCAATGCACTGCACGGGGGGGGGGGGGGGCAGCCAGCAATGCACTGGAACCCGGAGGGGGCAGCCAGCAATGCACTGGAACCCGGTGGGGGGGGGGGGCCAGCAATGCACTGGAACCCGGAGGGGGGCAGCCAGCAATGCACTGGAACCGGGGGGGCAGCCAGCAATGCACTGGAACCCGGGGGGGGCAGCCAGCAATGCACTGGAACCCGGGGGGGGGCAATCAGCAATGCACTGTACGGGGGGGGCAGCCAGCAATGCACTGGAACCCGGGGGGGGGGCAGCCAGCAATGCACTGTAACGGGGGGGGCAGCCAGCAATGCACTGGAACCCGGGGGGGGCAGCCAGCAATGCACTGGAACCCGGGGGGGGGCAGCCAGCAATGCTCCGGGATCACCGGACGGGGGGGGGGCTGAGTCCCCCCATAGGGGCCCCGCCCCCCGTCTCCTGCCCCTCCCCCGCCAGGCGGCTCCAGAGCGGAGCCTGCAGCGCCCGCTCCGGCCTCTGGGGGCCCCTGAAGCGATGATTGGTCCCGGCGAAGGAGCCATGACGAACGGCCGCGCGCCAATGACGCCTGTTTTGGTTCTCGAGGGGCCAATGGCGGCGCCTGGGGTGCGGCCGACAGCCAATGGGAAGCGGCGGCGACCGAACGTCCCAGCGTCGTCCAATGGGAGGCGGCGAGTTCCGGGCGGGGCACCCAATGAACTGCGCAGGAAGGCGGGACCCCGAGCGGGGCGAGCCAATCGGCGGCGGGGGGCGTGGCCTGGTGGGAGGAGGCAGCAGGAGATCGAGGCCGGGGACACGTACGGAGCGGAGCGCGGCGGTGACGGAGGCGGCAGGTGAGAGCGGCCCCCCCCCCCCCGCGCTCTCCGGGGGGGGGCCTGGATCCCGGATCCCCTCCCCCCCCAGCATGGCACGCCCCCCCCCGCGCTCTCCGGAAGGGGGGGCCTGGATCCCCTCCCCCCCAGGGCCCCCCCAGCGATCTCCGGAAGGGGGGGCCTGGATCCCCTCCCCCCCAGGGCCCCCCCAGCGATCTCCGGAAGGGGGGGCCTGGATCCCCCCCAGGGCCCCCCCCGCGCATCCCGGATGGGGGGCCTGGATCCCCCCCCCCAGGGCCCTCCCAGCGATCTCCGGAAGGGGGGGGCCTGGATCCCCCCCCCCACCGCTCTCCGGAGGGGGGGCCTGGATCCCCTCCCCCCCAGGGCCCCCCCAGCGATCTCCGGAAGGGGGGGCCTGGATCCCCCCAGGGCCCCCCCAGCGATCTCCGGAAGGGGGGGCCTGGATCCCCCTCAGGGCCCCCCCAGCGATCTCCGGAAGGGGGGGCCTGGATCCCCTCCCCCCACCAGCCTGGCACGGCCTCTCCCCCCGCCCTGTTTCCGGTCTTGGGCTTGCTCGCCTGCCCCAGGCCACGCGGGACTGAGGAATGCCCCCCCCCCCCCCGCGGAGAACCCAGGCGTCCTGGCACCCGCCCCCTTCGCTGACTCTCCCCTGCCAGCCCCGGCCGGGAGGGACGTTTCGTGGGTCTCTGCATGCGACGCCCTGGACACGGCGCGTGGCCTCGGGGCGGGGGCAGAGACCCTGGCCCGGGGCAGCGCCTGGCTAGAGACCCAGACGCCCCTCAGCGTGGGGTGGGGCCCGCTGCCAGCCCCGCCGCGGGGCCGCCGGGTGCACTCAAGGACGACAAGGCCCTGCCCGAAAAGCCAAGCGAGGGTTTGCGTGGGTCTGCGAGACTCGCCTCGGAGCTGGTGTTGGGCCAGAACCCGGAAGTGCCGCCCTACGCTGGTGGGTCAGGAGCGGCTCCCGAACAACGTGATCAACGGAGCAGCCGGTCATAAGTCCCTGGGAGCAGGTGGGATTCACCCAAGATAGGAAATGGCAGAACTACTAACTGGGCATGTAACCTAACGCTGAAATCAGCCTCTGGCCCGGGGGCCCGGAAGGTAGCTTCTGGAGCGTCCCTATTTTAAAAGGGCTCTTGAGGGGATCCTGGCAATTGCAGGCCGTTAAGCCTAACGTCTGTACCAGGTAATTCGGTAGAAGCCATACCATAGTAACGAGCAGAATTTTGTCAGACCCGTAGTTTGTCGGGGGAAAGGGTGAACACGGCTTTTGTAAAGGCAAATGGCACCTCACCAATCTACCAGTGTTATTTGAGGGAGTTGTCAAGCCTGTGGATAAGGGTGATCCAGTCAAAATAGCGTATTTGCATTTTCAGACTGACTTTGACAAGGCTCCTCACCCATAGACTTTTAAGGAAATTAAGTAGCCATGGGATGCGAGGGAAGGTCCTCTCATGGGTCAGTAACTGCTTGAAAGATAAGAAACAAACAGTAAGAATAAATGGTCATTTTTCACACTGGAGAGATGTGAACAGTCCCCCAAGGATCTGCCCTGGGACCTGTGCTGTTCAACATATTCATTAATGATCTGGAAAAGGGGGTGATCGGTGAAGTGGCAAAGTTTGTGGACAATACAAAATTATTCAAGATAGTTAAGTCCAAAGTACACTGTGAGGAGTCACAGAGAGAACTCACAAGACTGGGCAACAAAACAGCAGATGAAATTCAACATTGAAAGTGCAAAGTAATGCACGTTGGAAAACAATAATCCCATAGATACATATACAGTGATGGGGTCTAAATTGAGCTGTTGCCACCCACGAACAAGATCTTGGAGTCACTGTGGATAATTCTCCGTAAACTGCGGCTCAAGTCAAAAAGGTGAACAGTTTGTTAGCAACTATTAGGAAAGAGAGAGAAGAAATAAGACAAATATCATAATGCCACTGTGTAACTCCACAGTGCACCCATGCCTTGAACACTGTCCAGTTCTGGTTGTCCAGTCTCAGACAGTATCTAGTGGAACTGGAAAAGGCTCCGAGAAGGGCAGCGAAGATGATCCAGGGTGTGGAACGGCTTCCATCCTAGGAGAGACTAAAAAGATTAGAGCTGTTTAGCTTAAAGAAGAGCCCACAATGAGGGGACGTGATCTATAAAATCACAGGTGCTGTTATTTACCCTTCCCACAGTTCAAAAGTCAGGGGTGACCCGATTAAATTAATAGGCAGCAGGCTTAATACAAAGAAAAGGAAGCATAACTAACCTGTGGAACTCATTGCCAGGGGATGTTGTGATGGCCAGAAGTATAACTGAGTTAAAAAAAAACTGCATAAATTCATGGAGGATGGATCCATCAATGGCCATTAGCCAAGAGGGTCAGGGATGCAACCCCATGCTTGGGGCAGCCCGAAACTTCAGACGACTAGAAGTCAACTGTGGAAGACTGGAGTGGATCACTCCACCATTGCCCTGTTCTGTTCTCCCGCCCTGAAGCTCTGGAGACAGGGGAGTGGGCTAGATGGACCATTGGTCTGACCCAGTCTGGCAGCTCTCATGTTCACCTCAACTTTGGCTCCTGTTTGGTTAGTTAACAAGGGAGATGCAAACCAGTAGAACCAATGGGGAGCAGATCCCCCTCTTTGAAAGGGTATTTAACCCCCCTCCCAAAGCATTACTGTCTGAAAGGGGCTCTCAGGATCAGCTGGGATTGAGGCAGTAGAGAGCTGGGTCTAGGCTCCCAGGCCCCTGGAAAGCTGTCTTTTTAAACCATGCCTGTTGTTGCTACCCGGAGGGGTGCAGTTGGGCGGGCTAGATTCTGGCGATTAGTGGGGAGCAGTTTATCTCATTACTAGCCCTGCGCCCACTCAGAGGTTAAAGGCCATTCCCCAACTCTGATACAGAGAACAGCTCGGGGAAGGAAGCAGAGGAGTCCGACAGGTGGGTGTAGGGTTAGGAGACATGGCTCCTGGGGCTGCGAAAGCTTCTGTGGACCCTGAGCCAGGGGAGCAGCGAGGGCGGGACCCAGACATGCCCTGCGATGGGCCAGGTGTTGAGGTCCGGCCAGCTGTTGCAGCACAGAATGTAAATCCTCCGTAGCCTGCGGGCACCGAACACTGGAAGAACTGGAGTCGGGCTGACGTCCCAGGCAGTGGGAAGGCTGAGGAGGGAGAGATGGGGGTGCTCTCCAGGAAGGGGAGTGTAAAAGGAAAAGATGTGGGCCAGCCCCCTTTGTGGCTGTGTGGAGAACCAGTGCTGTGACTGCCAAGGAGTACTGGGGCCTTGGCTCGCTGCCCCCTGCAGGATTTCGGGCAGGGCCTGGCTAGCTTGTTCGGGCAGGCCGGCTACCGCAGGAGGCAGACTGATGTGCCTGGGGAATGGGAGTGAGCTGGCCGAGCAGGGCTGCGATGTCACAGGGGAGGCTGCGATGTCACAGGGGTGGCTATGCCAGCAGTTCTTCCCTGCCGCCCGGCGGGAGGGTGTCTGCCTTGCCCAGCGCAGTCAGGGCCAGCCGGGCGTTTCTCCCCGTCCCCAGCGTCGGGGCAGCGCAGGCGGATCTCCGAGCTGGGGTCCAGGCGGGCGGTAGAGCTCGGCGGTGGCTGCAGCTCTCCTGGGAGCAGGTGCTGCAAGGGCAGGACTCGGTGGGTAAAGGTTGCCGGGGTGGCCGGGTTGGTTATTTATTGATGAGCCTGGGTTCAGCTCCCTCCAGGGCAGGCTGGTTACTGACCTCGCCCTGGGGGCCCTGGTGACGGAGGGGGCGGGTGGTGTCCCCACTAGCGATCGATTGGACACCGTGTCCTACAGTAAACATCCTTCAGAACGTCGCCTGAGTGTGAATTCAGATATCGCCATTGCAATCGAGTGCTCCCCGGGCCAGCGGTGTGGGAGCAGCTGGAGTCAGGCGCTGTTCCTGTGCTCAGCCGCTCCCTGCTCGGCTGGGCGAGGAGTTTCCTGTTGCTTCTTTCTCTTTCGCTTTCCCAGTTCCTGGGCCCAAAGGCAGAGATCACGGCTGCCCTCGCTGGCTCTGGTGCTCTGCAATCCCGGGTCCCTCTGCCCCAGTGGGGCCAGGGGGCTCAGGCTGACAAAACCCCAGCCGAGCGGGCCAGTGCTGCAACATACTGCCCATGCCCGTGGGGAGAAATGGGCGGGTGAGATCCACCCGCCATCTCAGCCTGCCAGACACGCACCAGGTGCCGACCTAGTTTGGAACCTTGCACTGACTCACGGCAGCTGGGGCGTAAATGCTGTGTCCTACCCTAATTCTAGCTTGGGAGCCGAGTCCTGAGCCCTGACCATCCACATTCCACTGTTGCTGCGAGACATCAGAGTTGCAGCATCACTCCAGAGGTGGCTGCATTCTAGGCCACGGGAGAAGCGATTCCTCTGGCTGCGTGCATGCACATAGGGCCGATGGGTTTCAGTAATGTTATCCTGCTGGAAAGTGGGGGGCTGAGGGGATCACCCCGCTTTCTGGCAAGTAGGAGCGACAGTCCTGGGGACCAGCCCCAGCAAAGTATCAGGCATCCTCTGGGTTCCTCTCGGAAGAGAGGTGGCCAGACCTAGATCCTTGTCCTGGTGACACTGGCTCCTGCTCCATGTGTTACTCAGGGCAGTTGCCTCGTTAAACATGCTGCAAGCCAATCCCACGTCCTGTGGCACTTGCCCCCCAACCCCTCCCACCCCCGCTGAGACGGGCCACTTGAGCCAGTTGCTGGACCGGCTTCTGCACAGTGGGTTCCTGGAGTAAACCCCAGCCGGCCCAGCAGGAAAGACCTGCTCTCACTGGGATTTGACTCCCTAATGGACAGGAGGCTTGTAGCAGCCTCCAGCACCAGGCAAATGTGGAAGGGAGCCAGCTAGGGCCAGGGAGCAAGGAGCCTCCCTGCCTGGGTGGCTGAACACAGTGCTGCAGCCTGTCTGGGACCAGCCCCTCCTGGGATGTCATTAGGGGCACTAATGGAAGCCTTGAACAAAGGCACTTTCCAGCCGCTCTCGCCTGCCAAGTGGAAATCCGTGGGGAGCTGGGCTCGCGGGGAGCCTGTGACTAGCCCTGCAACAGCCTGCAATAATTGCACCATCTAGACTATGGGCCCAGAGCCCCGGGTGGGGGGAGGAGACGGCAGACGCTTCAGAGAGGTTTGCACAACAGCTGCACAGCTCCTCGCCCAACTATCCTCCGGAGCCAAGCCGAGAGAGCAGGGTGGGCGAGGGGGAGCTAGCCTGGAGCGAAGTGAAGCCGCGTTTCTCTGTGGTTGGGGGAGGAGATTCCTTGCCAGGCAGCTCCCCGGTGAGTCAGAAATCTCTCTTCCCAGCTGGCATTGTGGGGCTGGGGCCATGAAAGGACCTGACCCGTCCAGGAGCTCAGAGCCAGGTTGTGTCGCTTGCTCTGTCCTGGCCTGCGATGACGGATGGCTGCAGACGTGGCACGGTCTGGTCCCCCTGGAGAGTGCTGGGCATGCCATTGGCACTCAGTCTTAGCACAGCGGTGCCCGCTCGGGGGCCCGACGTTCCCTCCTGAGAATGGTTCTTTTCCTTATTCAGTGCACAACAAGCCGCCTAGTCGCTCCCAAGTCACTTCCTGCCGGTGGGTCGATGGGGTGGGTGTCCCCTGCCAGCTGGGGCAGAGTGGGATGCTCAGACCCCCAAGCTGGGGGGAATCTCCGGAATGACCTCAGGGAGCTGGGCAGCCGGCCTGGGCTGAGTGCAGAGAGCTGCCGTGGCCCACGCTGACGTGCGTCCCCTGCCCTGTCTCTTCCAGCCAGTGCAGTTCCCCGAAGCGAAGGGTGCATCCCACCCACCTGCCAGCGCCATGGACGTGTTCAACCGGAACATTGACTTCAACGCGCTCTTCAAGTTTTCCCACATGTGAGTGTGGGGCTCCCTCCACCGGGCCCTGGTCCGCATGGGCAAAGAATACATGGGCCGGAGTGGGGTCTGGTGGTTGGGGTCTGGGAGCCAGGGTTCCTGGGTTCTGGTCCTGGCTCTGCCACGGAACCGCTTTGCCTCAGATTCCCCATCCCGGGGCGTGGACGCCGTGCTTTGGGATCCTCAGCTGTGGTACTAGGACAGCGTTTCTGCTCCAGCCGGTGCCAATGGCGGTTCCTTCTCTGGCTCGGCTGTCAGTTGAGTGCGCCCAGGCGGGGAGGTGTGGGCCGGCCCCGGGGGGCAGCTCTGAGACCTGGTGGTCGCTGACTCGCTCCTTTCTACCGCACAGCTCTGCCTCCACCCAGCAGCACCTGAAGAGGGTCTATGCCAGCTTTGCTCTCTGCATGTTTGTGGCAGCAACCGGAGCCTACATCAATGTGGTGACCCATCTGCTCCGGGTAAGGGCTGTGCTCGGGGGCTATGTCAGTCCCCCGCGCTGGGACTGGATGGGCTTACGGGGGGGCATCTCCTTCCCCCTGACTGAGTGCTGACAAACGGGCACTGTGGGTACCCGTGCAAGGTCCTAACGCCTTCGCTGCAGCATCCAGTGCCAGGAGCAGCCATTGACCGGGGAGTACTGCAGACCCCGGTCTAATGCCCAGCACGTGAGGGCAATGCCCCGCCACCCCCTGCATCTTCTCCCACCCCCGGGCGGCCGTGTCGGTGGGTAGAGCAGCCCCGGGCTGGTATAAGAATGGGGGTGTCCCGTGTCGTGGCCTGATCTTCTGGGAGCATCTGCAGCCCCCTCTCTTTCCATGCGCTCCCTGTGATGGGCCTGGCTGGTGCTGCATCTGCCCTCAGCCCCCACACCAGGCCCAACTTCTCGTGGTCCGTCTGTCCAACAGTTCAACCTACTCTCGGGCCTGGGCTCCCTGGGACTGCTGATCTGGCTGATGGCCACGCCCCACAGCAGGGAGACGGAGCAGAAGAGGCTGGGGATACTGGCTGGCTTTGCCTTCCTGACTGGTATGTGTGCGGGATGCCTGCCCCTAAACCTCCTGGGCAAAGGGGCCTGGTCTGCAAGGCTCCCTTCTCCCCTTTCCGGCCCCTCCCCTGGGGAGCCTGGGCCCATAGCACTTACCGTCCTGGCCCTCGGGCCCTGTTGGTCACTGAACTGCCCCTTGTTCTAGGGCACAGGGCCTCTTCCTCCAGCGCTGGGCCCATGGAGGAGGGGAAGTCACGTAAACAGTTGGTGGCAGACCCAGGTATCCAGGCGTGGGGTTCCCTGCACTAAGCCCTGCGCCCTTCTCACCTGCCTCAGGGAAGAAGCTCTGAGCCCAAGGTGGCCTCTGGCTGCCGATGATGGGGGGAGGACAGGGGCGGGGCTGCTGTCACTGACGTGTATCACTTTGTCCTTGCAGGAGCCAACCTGGGTCCTCTCCTGGAAATGTGCATCACCATCAACCCTAGGTGGGCACTGTGCGGCGTGGCGTGGCTGGGCTGGGTGCCCATGTCCGTCACAGCTCTTCTCACCTGTTCTCCTTTCCTGCAGCATCATCCCCACGGCCTTCCTGGGCACCGCTGTGATCTTCAGCTGCTTCTCCCTGAGCGCCCTCTACGCCAGGCGTCGCAGCTTCCTGTACCTGGGGGGTAAGAACCGGCCCCCCGCACCCCAGCTTCCCCCACCCGGCCAGGGGGGCTCACGCCTCTGTCTCTCTCACAGGGTTCCTGCTCTCTGGCCTCTTCCTGATGCTGCTCTTCTCTTTGATCAACGTCTTCGTGGGGTCCACTTGGCTGTTCACGGTGAGGCCCGTCCCCACGTGTTAGGGTCCTGCCGGGTCCCCCCCACCACGATCAGCAACGGCAGCCATCAACACTGGGGCCAGGCGGGTGCCTCGGGGCCTGGCTGTGGGAGCTGCAGCCAGAGCGGGTCCTGGAGGCAGGCCTGATCCTGCCTGGGCCGCGTGGCGACGGAACCTGTCCAGAGCCATGCCTGGGCGCAGCTGTTGCTGACTGGGCAGACAGGGCCCGATCCTGGGAAAGCAGGTTCAGTGGGGGCTCAAAGGTGGGTGGGCCCCTTGCAGGGTCGGGCTCTTGTCACTCCCACTGCTGGGCCGTGTTTTCAGCCTGCTTTGCCTGGCACTCATCACGAGGCTGGAGCTGGTTCAGGCAACTCGTGCCAGCTGTGGGGCTGCCTAATAGAAATACACGCAGCAGCGTCGCCTCCTGCCCCTGCCTTATCCCCGAAGCAAGCGAGACCTGGGTCCTCCCAGCCAGACGCAGGGCTGCTGGGTGCTGGCTGGGGCCATGGCTCGGGTTCACCCAGAGCCCGAATCCCCTCTTAACTGGGGGGCAGTGTCAGAGGGAGAGTAACTGGGGCAGGAACGGCAGCCCCTGCTGCTCACGGGGAACTGCACTGAGCAGACATGGGGTGGCAGGGGAGCATCCCAAGGGTCTCAGGGGCTTGTCCCTGACTCTCCCTCCTCCACACCAGGCTAACCTGTACCTTGGGCTGATGGTCATGTGCGGGTTCGTCCTCTTCGACACACAGCTCATCATCGAGAAGGCAGAGAGTGGGGACAAGGATTACATCTGGTGAGTGGGGACAGGGATTACAGCTGGTGAGTGGGGGGCAGCGTGGTGGAGAGCCCAGCGCCAGGCTGAGCCCCCTTGACTATCTCTGCCTCTCTCCCGCAGGCACTGTGTGGATCTCTTCCTGGATTTCATCAACATTTTTCGGGAGCTCATGATCCTGCTGGGGATGAACGAGGTGAGTCCCTGCCCAGGGGCGGGCCCTGCGGCAAGGCCCCCTGGACGCTGGCCAAGTTCAGCCCAGCACATGGGCCAGGAACTGACTGGGCCCGGGACTCGGCAGGGGACAGTAGCCAGCACCCACCAGGCCTGCTGTGCAGGGCCAAGCTCCTGGCCCCCTCCCTGCAGGAGCCCATGGAGACGAGTTCGGGCGGAGTCGTGCAGGGCTTGGCAAGGGCAGAGGAGTCCGGGGCCCGTGTGATGGGCCCCAGGTGGGCGTGTTCCCCGGGAGCCCAGGCTGCTTTGCCCCCGTGGAAGGGGCTGTCGAATGTTCGAGCCACCCGCAGGCCAGCTGGGCGCCGGGCTGGGCCACTGACACATCCTCTCCTCTTGCAGAACAAGAAGAAGAAGGAGAAGTGAAGCGACGCCAGGTGCCGGTTGGGTGGAGCCCCCATCCCCCCCATCTCCTGCCCCCCAACACATTAAAGGGGCTGTGCTCTGCCAGCCACAGGCAGCCAGTCGCTTTCCTATTTTGTGGGTTGTTTTCTCTTGTTTGAGCTTATTTTGATTAGAAACCAGCTGTTTAGCAGCTCCTCCTCCTGGAGTTTGGTTTCCTCTTCCTGCCCGCAGCTTGCTCCTGGGGAGACCTGGGCCAGCCACATGCAGGCATCCCTTCCCCCGCAGCTCCTGCCCCCCCCGTGCCCCCCCGCCCCCCCCTCAGCTCCACTGGCTGAATCTTTCCAGGGGTTGGGTCCTTCAAAGGCTTCTCTCCCCTCGTAGCGAGAGTGGGGCCAGGAGCCTGGCCGTACAGGGCTCTGCCTAGAGCCGCCATGGCGGGGAGTTCTTAGTCTCCTACCCCCAGATCCTAAGAGCCCAGACACCTCCATCTTACAGCAGCCCTGCCCACCCTGGCCTTTCATTCAGCTGCAGCCAGGGCCAGAGTGTCTGGCCGGGTTCGCAGTGCACCCCTCTTCCCAGGAGCTGCACGCCCGGCATTGTCCAGAGCCACTGTGGACTCGGCTCCTAGAACTGCTTTGGTTCCAGCTCCGGGGGATGGGGGGGCTTTGTACTGGCCCTGGCCCAGCAGAGAGATTAGTCACCTCCCCCACGTGGGACCAGCCATGCAGCAGGCCGAGGAGCTCCCCAGCTAGGCTCCGTCAGTAACAGGACCTGCTCCGCGCCCCTCTCTGCAATGGGCAGTCTCCCCGCATCCCGTCCCAAGGCTGCGGCGTCGTCCCCCAGCCAGGCACCCTCTCCCCTAGCAGGTACCCCAGACGTTTTTCTGAAGCTCCAGGTTTCTCCCTGGCTGATGGGCCCTTTTCCCCTCCCCTGAGGCCAAACTCCACCTCTGCTTGCTCGGGATAAAGGAGTCGTGCGCTCTCGCTCCCTCTAGAACCAGTGCCAAGAATCACAGTGTAAGAAATAATCTACTTTTAAAGAGACATCTAACAGGTTTTAATACCATAACGAGTGTAATTATCTTTCTCTTCTGTTTCATCAGTTGACAGCCCTGGCTGCGTTCTATAACTCATACTGTGAAGACAAAGGTGTTTTGATTCAGAAATAAGAAATCTCCATAGTCTTACTTTGTACAAAAAATAAATAAAAATCCTCAAACTTTAACCTTTACAGCCAAGCTGTCTGCTCCTTTGTGGGGGGTCAAGTCACCCAAAGATCTAAGGGTCTCAACAGGGCAGAGCGAGCTGATCAGCCGCACGTTACAGGTGGGGGAGGCTGCGCAGCGCTGGGAACTGGACCCATCATGTTCCAGAGCACAAGGCCAGCCTGCCTCAGAGTAGCCAGGGGAATATTTAGGGCAGGGAAAGATGCAGAAGTGACAGCCCCAGAAAGGCCCCCGTGCTGTGGAGAACTCCTGCCCCCACTGCGGGGTCTCAGCACAGCCTGGGGGAGGCTGCACGGGGGCAGTTCAGTCTCAGGAATAACGGCTGGGACGTGGCCATTGGGTGATGAGGGAGTGCAGGGGGCTTGTTCTGCAGAGGGGGCTGCACGTGCTGTGTGCCCCGCTGCAACGAGGGACGGGGAACCCAGTCGCCCTTCCACAGTGGGGGGCCCAGGGCCAGCTCCAACACCCCCTCCCCCACATCTCTATGTTCTCTGGGCCTGGTCTCTACAGCCAGCTGTGGGTCAGGCGTGGGGATGATCCCAAGGCAGACAGGTGTCTGGAGGCCTGTCAGTCTCTCTTCCCCTTCCCGCTGGGAAAGCAAACGTGCTCTGCACCACAGGACTGGGCCGGGCTGGCCCCCCAGCACCAGCAGAGTCAGGTGAAGTGAGGGGCGGCAGCAGGAGCTGGCCGGCGGGTGTGGTCCGGAGTACGGCATTCGGGCTGGCGCAGGCTGTCGTGCAGCAGCTGGTGCCAGGTGAACAGGACTGGTACCCTGCGGAGCACGTGTGGGCGAGAAGGGCAGGGGAGACAGAATTCAGCAGCCACCCTGGCCTAGCTACCACCTACAGCCCATGGCCCTGCTCACCCAGGATGGGGCTGTGGCCCTGGGCTCCCCTAATATTACCTGTCCTGATAGTCTCCATGCCCATGGCATGCTGCTGTGACTCCAACCGCCCAGAAGCATTTCAGCAGGGCTGAGAAGACTTAACTCCATATACGCTGCATTTACAGGTAGGGACAGTTAAACTGGAGCCTGGCGCTTGCTTTTTACACCTCCCGCCCCCAAGAGCCCTTTGCCCAACAAAGCGCTTTAGACAATTTATTAACCCTCTAGGCGGCTTGCAGCCAGGGCCAGGGTGCAGTACAGTCAGGACTCGAGGTGGGGAGGGGAAATGGCATTGGGGTCTGGCTCAGCCAGGCCCAAGCCCAGAGCTCCAGGCTTCCCTTCTCCCTCATCATGGCAGGGGTCTGCATTTGGTGCAAGACCCCACTGCTGCGCCCCGGGGGGCTGGCCATGGGCACAGATCCCCTGCAGTCACGGGCCAGGCGGGCTCCCCGCACGTACCTTACGGTGCCCGCGCTCCTCACCGGTCTTGCAGGCAGGTTGGAAACTGGCTGTTGCAGCGAACGACGAACCGGGGTTGGGACCTGGCTGCCTTGGGCTGGTGGCATCGCCTCTGGGAGGGAACCCTGCTGGGGCAACGGTGATGGGGGGGGGACTTAGTACACAGCCCCCCCCCCCCACTCCAGGAAGAACGGGGGCCAGAAAATGCCTCCCTCGTTGCTAACCCTGCCTAGCGAGCACCCTGTCCCCTCAACACAGGCTGGGAACTGCCCGAGGGGCTGCTGGGGGCAGCCCTCCCTCGGGGAAGCATGTCCTCCCCATCGCGGCCCACAGCCCGGCCTGGCTGCCGGAGGGGAGCCAGCCCCGAGTGGGGGCCCCCATCCTGCTCCACCACCTCTGGGGAGACCCCCACCACCACACGGGGGGAGGGGGGCTCTTCAGAGCTGCCCCTGCGAGACAGACTCCAGAGGGGAAAAGGGGCATCTCCAGTTGACTGGGGGGAGAGGCCACAAGGGCGCATCAGGATTTGGGGGCGGGGGGCATCAGAAATTCCCCCCCCTCCCCAGGGTGGGAGGGGCCCTGGGAGGGGTGTGATGCAACTGCCCTGCAACCAGCGCCGCTGGCCCGCGGCTGGCCACAAGGGGGCACCGCAGGTTGGTGCCTGGAGCCACAGTGATGCTGGGGGGGGCCACTGGGACCCTCACCCCCCCAACCCCTTGCCCAGCACCCCATCGCCACAGCCCTAGTGCGGGGGTGGCTGAGCTGGGGGGGCGCTGTCTGTCCGTCCGTCCAGCCCCACGGCCCCCCTGAGCCAGCAGCTCCCTGGGATATAACATGACAGCCCCCCCCGGCCCCCCCAGTCCCAGTCTTCACCCGGGACGCCAGTGACTGCCGGGGAGGGTGCGCTGCTGTGGGGCAGAGGGCAGACGCAGGGTCTAGGGCAAAGGCTGCTCAGGGCCTAGCGCAGGGGGGCCCGGTCTATGCCTGGTGCCACGCGAATACAGAGCCTGGCCGGGGTGCAGGCACGAGCCCCCCTCCCGATCCAACCCCCCCTCCCCGCTCTGCCTCAGCGGGGGAGCCAAGCCCCACAAGCACGGACTGGGCTCATGGCTCTGGGCACCGGCCCACGCACACGCTAGTGAGCTGCAGTGACGGCCAGCCCCGTCCCCCTCGTCTGCACGGCGGGCTGCCCCCCCAGATCCCGCACTGCCCCCCCACCCCTGCCTGGCCCCCAAACCCCACGAGTACCTGCTGCTGCTGCAAACCCCACACCCAGCCTGCACCCCCCCCCCCGGCAGAGGCCGGGTGCTGTCCCGCCAGGCTGGGACATCACGACGGGGACCAGATCTTGCGAGGCAGCGGAGGGGCCCCATCTCCCTCCCGACACCCCGAGAGCTGCCTGCGGCCGGGTCGGCCCCACTCGAGGCTGCCAGGGAGCCAAGCAGCAAGGGGCCTGGCCAGCGTGAGGCAGGGCAACCTGGAGGGTCACCATGACAACTAGAGATTGCAGGACACCCTATATAATCGCGCCCCTCAGAGGCCCATTGATTCGGGAAAAGACACCAGTGTTCTGCCCTCCCACTGCTACCAGCCCATGTCCTGCCCCTGCCCCCCGCATGCCAGCCCTGCCCTGCACCCCTGCCCGCCAGCCCAGCCCCATGCCCCTCTGCATGCCAGCCCTGCCCTGAGCCCCTGCCCTCTGCATGCCAGCCCTGCCCTGCACCCTGCCCTGCACCCCTGCCAGCCCTGCCCTGCACCCCTGCCTGCCAGCTCTGTCCCATGCCCCTCTGCATACCAGCCCTGCCCTGAGCCCCTGCCCTCTGCATGCCAGCCCTGCCCTGCACCCTGCCCTGCACCCCTGCCCCGCCCCCCTGCCAGCCCTGCCCTGCACCCCTGCCTGCCAGCTCTGTCCCATGCCCCTCTGCATACCAGCCCTGCCCTGTGCCCCTGCCCTCTGCATGCCTGCCCTGCCCTGCACTCCTGGCCTGCACCTCTGCCCTGCACCCTTGCCCCCCGCATGCCTGCCCTGCCCCCCTGCCTGCCAGCTCTGCCCCATGCCCCTCTGCACTCCTGCCCTGCACCCCTGCCCCGCACCCTTGCCCCCCACATGCCAGCCCTGCCCTGCACTCCTGCCCTGCACCCCTGCCCCGCACCCCTGCCCCCCACATGCCAGCCCTGCCCTGCACCCCTGCCTGCCAGCTCTGCCGAATGCCCCTCTGCATGCCAGCCCTGCCCTGTGCCCCTGCCCTCTACACGCCAGCCCTGCCCTGAACTCCTGCCCTGCACCCCTGCCCCGCACCCTTGCCCCCCACATGCCAGCCCTGGCCTGCACTCCTGCCCGCCTGCCCTGCCCCATGCCCCTCTGCAGGCCAGCCCTGCCCTGTGCCCCTGCCCTCTGCATGCCAGCCCTGCCCTGCACTCCTGCCCTGCACCCCTGCCCCACACCCTTGCCCCCCACATGCCAGCCCTGCCCTGCACCCCTGCCCCACACCCTTGCCCCCCACATGCCAGACCTGCCCTGCACTCCTGCCCTGCACCCCTGCCCCCCGCATGCCAGCCCTGCCCTGCACCCCTGCCTGCCAGCTCTGCTGCATGCCCCTCTGCATGCCAGCCCTGCCCTGTGCCCCTGCCCTCTGCATGCCTGCCCTGCCCACACCGGCTCCATCCTTCACCCAACTCAGCGGTGTCCGCTCACGCCTGCTCTCCCCTTTCACACTCAACCGTCATCGCAGCCTGGCTGGCATCTGACCTGGCTCCACTGCCAAACAGCCGCTGCACCCCGCTCAGAGGTGGCTGCCTTTCAGTGCTGGGTGTGCAGTGCCCCCATACAGCTGTCGATCAGTTTGCTCTGGGCTGGCGACAGATCCTCTCCCTTCGAGGCGTCTCTTTCCTGTGCTCTGGTACCATGGTTGGAATCGCTGACGCGGCAGCATCCCTTCGATGTCTGCATGGCAGGGACTGGGATTCCCAGGAGGGGGGCCCAACGCCCCCTTTCCAGCCTGCCCTGCGCGTGGGGGGCAGCCCCTGGTGGCCAGTCAGCGTCCGTGGCACCCACCCACGGCTCTGAAGAGGAAGGACCCAGCCTGACTCCCAACAGCCCCATGGGTGCTAGGTCTGGAGCAGGCAGAGGGGACCCGTAAGAGTCACACCGAGTCCATCGCGCCCCACGTGCACCGACGACAAACCCGCCCCCAGCAGGCTCCTCTGCCATTCGGGCCTGGGCTGGCTGCACCCTTCGAGGTGCCGGGTTGAGTGCAGGCCTGGGGGTCTGGAGGGACTGACCTCCCCGTGTCCCTGGGCCACTCCGGGGCTTGTGAAACCCGGGAGGGCACGTGGCTGTGGAGACCGCATGTGGGCACCGTGCCCTGGGCACCGACTCCTGCCCAGCGGCTCTGTTCCTGACCCCGCAGCCGCTGGCGGGTGGGTAGGGTGGGGATGGGAAACCACGCATTAATCCAGGCCAGCTCTTAACCTTTTATTGGCTGTTTGAAGGGAGACCAAGGCAGACAATAAACAGCTGGATTCACAATAACTTATATAAATAAAACAAAGTGGGAGGGTGGTGTCATTGAATAAAAAACCTGACTGGAAGGCGAGAATGGGAAGTGGGGCTGGGGGGGGTCTGTACATGGCAATAGCACCATGGAGAGAGCCAGGCGA